CCTTTTTAATGATGTATTGCTGGCACGCTATTGACACAGGCTTCTCTATAATGCAAGAAGAATCAGGCCATACTCAACCACGCCCAAATTGTAGTTGGAAGACTTCATAACTAATTAGGCTCCCTCAGAAATGCAGGTTTTCTCATGATCTTCAATTTAAGAAAAGCGGTAATCATGTTGAAAATGATTCGCACGTGAGAATATCAGTTACGACACCCGGGGTTTGAACCCAGTACACTTCGTTTTTCAAACTAGTGCTTTGTTACTAGGTAATCTGACTACACTTAAAGAACTGTACCCTATTAACCCATTTGATCTAAATTATACTTATTTATTAATGAGATTTCATTTTTCGAGCTTGTAGGATAAAAATTTAATTGTGCAGTCTGTGACAGTTGAATATAATTCTATATAATATTATAAATGCGAGAGTGTGTCTTTTTTTAATGCAGCTATAGATCGCCGTAATATTTTCAGAGAGATAGTTTATGAACTGCAAAATGCTTTTATCAGCTTCACTTTTAACTATTTATTAAATTTTGGAAGTTGATTTTATATTCTAATTGTCGTGTTCATTTGAAACACTGTATTTGCATTTCGGGTAGCGATACAATCTATACATGTGATAAAATTCTAAGTCGAATCTGTGCGTTAAATATTTTTTGAAAAATCTTATCGATACAGAGGCCGAATTTATAGTTTTTAGAATTTTTGACTGTCTATCTGCCTGTGTGGGGACTCATCACTAGAAAACCACTGGACATATTTTGATGAAATTTGATATGATGATAGCTGATTATCCGGGTCAATATATAGAATACATTATACTGCAGGAAAATATCTCATCTCTGAGAAATCTATACTAAACGTGAAAACGTAACTAGGGACGAACTCGAGCGGAGCGAGGCGGAGTCGCTAGTAATACAATATTATCGATATGGTCCGATAATGACGCAAGTAGTAACACTCTCCAAATCCAGATACCACAATATCATCTTTTCGACATTGTAAAAACAATTTAAGCATTAATATAAGTATTAGTAATTAATAATATTGATGTTTATCATTCTATGTCATAAAATAACATAATCAAATTCAATAACAAAAACTTTTTTCATATGTAATTAAGAAACAATTTAAGTCGCTTATCAGTAGGCTGTCAGAACTTTGTGAAAGCTGTGATCAAATTCATCGCGATTAAGAACACATCTCTAAGGTAAATGTAATTTATTTTGCTCACAAAATCTAAATTAACTAAAACAAGATTTAGCTTAAGACTTCACATATTGAAGTTCTTTCGTTAATTAATTGTATTAAAATGGAAGTTAACAGCAAATATGATGATTATGTCATTGATATAGTAAATAAGTAACGACTAAATACAATTTTCAATTAATTTAAATTTTTTAAATTTCAAAATTGACGATTTAAAAATACTTTTAAAAATCTATTTGAATATAGTATATTAGAATTTGATTTCAAATATTTGTATGATTCGTCATAATAGATATTTCTTATTTCCTAAAAGGTTACCTGCTTTTTATATATTTTACTAATCTTTACTAATATTAAAAAGAGGCAGAGTTTGTTTGTTTGAACGTGCTAATCTCAGGAACTACTAATCCGATTTGAAAAAATACTTTTGTGTTAGATAGCCCGTTTGTTGAGGAAGGCTATAATAATGTCGATATGATCATGCTACTACCTAAGGGATTGGAGCAGTAATCATAAATGTCAACAAATTGGGCAGACTTCCATACATTATTGTAAAACTGATGTTTAAAATCAACCAAAAACGCAGGTGAAACAGCGGGGCACAGCTAGTTAATTAATATTACACAAACACAGAATACTTTATATGAGATTCATAACACGGTTACTGTGAGATATGTGTAAGTCTTACAAAGTATTACCTAGAGAAGAAAACGAAGTTAGGTTATTAGAAAATAATATTCTCATAAATACTTTCGTATCTATTTTCTCAGAAAGTTGATTGGTAAATTATAACAGTTCTACGCCAAAAGAACAAATACTCACATAAAGTTAAACAAAACTTTGTAACAATATTTATATGAAACATATATAAGTTAAAATTCTTTTTCGTATATTCTAGAAAACTACGTAGCAAGCTGAATTGTGTTTTAGTAAAAACAACGAAGTTTGCTGTAATATTATTAGTAAAGTAAAATTAATAATGTAATGTGATAATATAAACTAAGCCGGATAACTTTTTTTTATTGTTGGGACCTTAACACACAGCACCATCTAGTTCCATGGTAAGCTACGAGGCTTCCGTTATGGATACCAGAGAGTTGATACACTACACATATATAACTTTAAATATATATGTATATAACTGCCTCGGTGGTGTAGTGGCTAGCATGTACGGCTGCACACCCGGAGGTCCTGGGTTCGAGTCCCGGGTCGGGCCAAGTTTAGTTATTGAGTCTTCCTGTATAGTAAGTCTCAGTAACAGCCCGGAGTTGGGAAGTTGGCGGTGTTTCACCCCCGTGCCTCGGAGAGCACGTAAAGCCGTCGGTCCTGCGCCTTAACTCTCACCGGTCGTGTCGAGTGGTCGTCCCACCGGAGTATGAGAGTGATAGGAATAGAGAGTGCACATGTGTCTGCGCGTACACTTGAGCACTATAATATCTCCTGCGCAGTTGGCTAATCTCATTAAGATTGGCCGCCGTGGCCGGAAACGGCTATCATCATCATCATCAGCATCATCATATGTATATATTATAAATATAAACACCCATGACCGGAGTACAAGCATTCGTGCTCATCACACAAATGAATGCCTCCAGCGGGACTCGAACTCGCGACCGCTGGCACAGCAAGATGAGTTACTACAAACTGAGCCAAGCGTGACGTCGAATTGAAATAAAAGTACATATTAATAATTTACATGGCAATATTAGTAAGACATAAAGTTCTTTACGGACAGATATTTTAACAATTAATATTTATAACTTTTGGATTTTTTACTATATAAGTAAGTTAGAAATCTTTAAAAAAATGTATAAACACTAAATAATAGTGATAATAATTTAGTTGTTAGCTATTAGATATAACAATCAAATGATACACGAATGTTATTAAAATTACGATCGTTCCTATACACTACACATACAGAGAGAGCTTACTATATATTTTGTGTAAAAACTATACACATGATAAAATTCTAACTTAGTCAAATCTATACATTAAATATTTCTTGGAAAATCTTATTGAAATAGTCATTATTATCGATACAGAGGCCGAAACTATAGTTTTTAGAATTTTTGTCTGTCCATCTGTCTCTCTGGGAACGCATCATGCGAAAACCATTGACAGATTTTGGTGAAATTTGGTATGACGATAGCTGGTTATCCGGGTCAACATATAAGATACTTTCTACTGCAGGTAAATATCTCTTCTCTGAGAAATCTTTGCTAACCTTTGAAACGTACTTTACTATAAAGGTATAAATAAAGACAATATAATTATATAACAAATAAAACATTTGCCGATTTGGTTTCCAATTAGAACAAATACATGTTAACAAATAATTATCTCGAAATGGCTTTGAAAACGCAGCGCTAATTGATTTAAACTAATAGCTATAGAGAAAGCTGAGAGGGCACTGTGGTATATTGGTACCGTATATTCAGTCTTGTTTCCGCAACTCGACTACTTTACGTCTATTTTGCGTGTAGATATATATATATATATATATATATATATATATATATATATATATATATATATATATATATATATATATATATATATATATTTATTTTATTATTATTAATTATCTAAAAATGTAGATCTCTATGTAAATATTGTATCCGTTTTATTTCATTCCTTAGAATACCATTTTAAAAGTATTTAAAACCTATTACTGTTCCTTTTTTTATGGCTTCTACGGTGCTAATAGGTCCAATAATATTTTTCATGCGGGGAAGTGAAGTCCACCCGTACAATAAATGACTTCTACGATGACAAGTTTTAGTCAGATTTAGCTATTAAGTTATTATAAAAGTGCTTAGATTTTTGTATCTTGATTCACTATTTATGTTTAAATACGTTTTGTGAACACCAAGACTTAACAGATTCATTTTTATTATATATATTCGACAATTTCGTATCGCATATGCAAAGATAGCGTAAAAACCAGCACTCGTCAAAATGCCTGGGATCACATCCTTATACCATATATTATGTAGTACATTTTGTAAATATGTGATAATGAAACATTATAACGTTTAGTATAGATTTCTCAGCGATGAGATATTTTCCCGCAGTAAAAAGTATCCTATATGTTGACCCGGATATCCAGCTATTATTATACCAAATTTTGTCAAAATCTCTCCAGTGGTTTTTTTCGTGATGCGGTAACAGACAGACAGTCAAACAAAAATTCTAAAAACTATAGATTTCTGTTCTGTATCGATAACAACGTCTATTTCAATAATATTTTAAAAATAATATTTAATGTACAGATTCGTTTTAGTTAGAATTTTATTATATGTATAGATTATCTAGCTTATTAAATAAGTTTTTTTTTCAATCAAGTAAAGTATTTCAATATTTAAAACTTTACATCATAGTAATTTAAGGTTTTTATAAAAACTAGTGTTCGCCCAGTGGTTGAAGTTTGACCAGAATCTAAAGCTCGTCAGTGGCTACTAAACAAAAAAAAACAAATTAAAGGCGCATAGGAAATTTACTGTAAAAATTCGAATCTAATCTACTTAGAAGTCATATGAAAGAAGAATTTTGTGGAAACGATGAATGAAGGGTTCAAAGCATACGAACATTCCTACATTTATTTCAATTAGACTGAAAGGCGTGGAATTAGGGACATTCGGTTTCATTAATGAAAGTAGACCAGATAATATATTTAAGTACATCTTTCAAAGCCACGTTGCTTCTTGATTATAATACGGATTTCTGTATTAGAGGTTACAAGTTCGATATGAGTACAGCTATTGGTCATCCATATTTCTATTATGATCCCTGTATTAACTACCTCGGTGGTGTACTGGCTAACATGTACGGCCGCAGATCCGGAGGTCCTGGGTTCGTATCCCGGGTCGAGTCAAGTTCAGTTATTGAATATTTCTACCAAAAAATTATCAGTTACAGCCCGTGGTTGGGAAGTTTTCGGTGTTACACCCCCATACCTCAAAGAGCACGTAAAGCCGTCGGACCTGCGCTTTAACTCTCACCGATCGTGTCGAATAGTCGTCCCAATGGAGTATGAAAGTGACAGGAATAGAGAGTGCACTTGTCTACGCGCACACGCGCTGCACTATAATATCACCTGCGCGGATGGCTAGTCTCAATGAGATTGACCGCCGAGGCCGAAATCGATCAGGAGAGCATTATAATCCCTATATTTTACTCATGTCTATTTCTGTTTACTTAGAATGTATTATAATGTTAAAAACGTATTAACTACATACATTCACAGAGAATATTATGAAAATTGTAAAAATGTGCTTATATATACCAGTGCTTTACAACGTGGACACGTAGGATGCATCAGAAGCTTCACAAGAAGGCCACGAAAAGAGACACCAAGGGCTCTTTTGAAACAGACTCATCCAATCTATTCAGCATATTAGTTAAAAATCTAACATTCTATCAGTATATTAACGATAAATTGTTAAGTCTTTCAAAATTAAATTGAAGCAAAAAATTATTTTATTAACATAATTTAAAAAAGGGAATTAATATAAACGGCAAAACTGAAAAAAAAACCATCTGAAAAAATATATACTATAACGGCAAACATATCTGTATAGTCATAAACTAAAGTTTGTTCGAAATTAGCTGGCGGACAAACTGACCTTTAAAAATCATTGAAACCATAACCAAACAAATAAATAAACAAACAAACAAACAAACAAACAAACAAACAAACAAGTCAAACATAGAAAGAAAAATATTATATATTAAATTAATCCTAACCGTCTCAACGCAATAGATTGCCAGAATTATCAACTACATTATATATAGGTCATGGGTTTCATTCACATATCCACAATGAAGGTTTCTATTAATTATACAAAAATCATATGGACCCATATAGGATAAAACATTACACAATATGCCATCGCTACCCTATAACTAACAAAGGCAAGAAAAGGACTAAGGATTCATTATATTTCAGATTCATTATATTTGACGTTCTTTTCATAAGGCTTTCGTTAGAACAGCGACTTTTTAAAGAATTTTTAATACAAGAGTATAATGGTGATGTTGACATGAGGAAGCGAAAAGTATGTGTGGATTGTGACCCTCAGTACCTACAAGCTCGTCCTCTGACTAAGCCGTAAAGGATTCTTATATATACTATAAGGGCTTTGATGCGAGTGATTACTCACATTTTTACTTGTTTTTGCATTCTAACAGGTAAGATACTGTATTTGTTAATTATAACTAGTTACATTTTTTTATTGGATTACTATGTTAATTATGAAAGTTTGTATGTGTGTCTGTTTGTTACTCTTTACCCTGTAATGGCTGGGCGAATTTGTATGAAACATATACCTCATGAAATACTAGCGGCTCACCCTCAAAATATAAACAAAAACAAACCTATCCCACGGAAACCGTACATTTTTCCAGGATAAAAAGTAAATTTCATCCAAATCCGTGCAGCCGTTCTGGTGTAAAAGAGTAACAAACATTCGTAGTCACAAACTTGCACATTATTTGTATAGATTTTATAAAACTCGCTTAGATATCAATAGATTAATTATTATTTACTATATCGTTATAATAGTAAAAAATTTATCAAAAAAAAAATGTTGTATTTAACTATAAAAATAATAGGACAAAATACCGAATTCTTAACGAATAGGTATTAAAACTAAAAAGCACTTATTATACTAAATCATTGAATTGAAACCAAATTACTTATACGCCGTTTGCTAACAAAAGAAAACGCTTGACCGGTTGACCCTGCCAATTAAGTTAGGTGAGATTATTCGAAAAGGTACACTTAAGCCTATATAAGGCTATATACTTCTAAATAGATATCTATAAGTATCTATACATATAATAAAATTGTAACTAAGCCGAATTTGTACATTAAATATTTTTTGGAAAATCTTATTGAAATAGACTTTATTATCGGTACAGAGGCCAAATCTGTAGTTTTTAGAATTTTTGTCTGTCTGTCTGTCTGTCTGTTACCGCATCACGGGAAAACTACTGGAGGGATTTTGATGAAATTTGGTATGGTGATGGCTGGTTATACGGGTGAACATATAGGATACTTTTTACAGCGGGACAATATCTCATTTCTGAGAAAAAATACAAAAACTGTAATGTAAGAGTATACTAATATGTAAAGCCTAAGAATTTGGTTTTTGATCATCTGAACGCGGGCGGAGTCGCGGGCAATGCTAGTTTTTAAATAAATCCAGCCCTTTCTAACGTAGCACTGTGGCGCAGGCCTCTCTTCAATACGAGGGGGATCCGGCCAGAGTCCACCAGTATAGTAGTTGGCAAATGCGGGTGGGCCGATTAATTCACATGTCTTTCGAAAACTAATTGATATGTTAGGTTTCCTCACGATGTTTTCCTTCACCGTATTAGCAATTGGTATGTTGAAAATGATTCGCACATGAAATTATGAGAGATTTGAGACCCGAAATATGAACCCATTGCTTAGTTTACCAAGCGTACCCGTTAACACAGGGCTTCCAATAAAATATTCACAAACACACCCAAACATATTCCATATAAATATTTTTTATCTTTTATTAATTATTACAAGTGTACCATAGGAGATAAACTCAATATTATTCTATTAACGGCCTTTCTGTAGAATTTTTTAAAACCTACAATTTTTAGTACATTGTTTTGATGTATTTCTTAAGGTTTAACCAGCTTTAACCACGTATATTTCTAAGGACTCGACAGAGTCTCTTATGGTGTTTTCCCGAGGGATATGAAAGATTTTTCTATAGTAGAAGGTATCCTAAATGTTTACCCGAGTAATAAGTTATTACTACACAAATTTATTTTATTTTATTTTAATTAGGATCTCCAACAAAATATACACACAATATACAACATCATATAAAAACAAAAAGCAAATAAGATTCACAACACGTGTGCTCCTTCACTTAGGTATAGGAGACCACAGCTTGCTCATTAATGTATTATAAGTTATACTAAGTTTAAACTAAGAAAAAATTAACGTAGGTACGAGTACATTTCGAGAAACAAATCTTAAACTATTTATAGAATTTAGTTAAAATCGGTTCAGTACTTTTTGCATGAAATGCACACTGATATACAGCCAAACACAAAGATAAACATGTATAGATACGATATATATGTACATATATTCTACATTTACAAATAATATTTGAAAAAATAAGGAATTGATAAATATTCAGCGGTCACTTCAGTTCGAAACACCTATAAAAATATTTCAACATGATGCTGTTATTATGTTTATTTTTAGGTAAAGTTCTAAAGACAAGTTATTTGTAAACATTTTCTTTAAATACGTCCATTTTACTAGACATTTTCACAAAATTATGAAAAGAAATATTTTTATTTAAGAAAAGATTCGTTGTATAGAAGTTACTTAGCAATACTTACAAGTAACCGTTGAAGCCAGTACCAGCACTTTCTCCCACCAAAACAAAGTTACGTAAAATCAGTTAAAGTAAACGAGTAGATAAGGATAGAATTTTCTTCATGGAAGTTTAATTTTTATTTTGCCGACCGTCTTACGCCTACGTCCTAGGTATGAGATTAGTGTCGCTTAGGACATATATTTATTTTGGTCATATAAGTACTCGTTTGTATCTATATATATATATATATATATATATATATATATATATATATATATATATATATATATATATATATATATATATCTCGAGTCCTCATTATTTTCCGCCTCACTCATTGTAGTGTACAAGGGAATTTATTTAAACTTCAACGCACAGTAATTAACTTTATTGATTTATGATTTTAACACTATAATACACACTTCACAGATAACACTTCTATTTTATTCCACAATCACAATTCACTTTATTTAGAAATTACACACAATATAACCCACACGATACACAGCACAGTTCCTAGGCTTAACACTGACTTTTACCAAGTGAGCAAACAAAATGAACTACTCAATTTTAATTTGATCACAACTTTTTATTAATTTTTCCCCACCCGCCTAGGCTCTGTACACGCCAGTATGACGTTTGTGTGTCGTTGACGATCCGTATTCATTTCCCGTATTCGACACGGCCATCCTGCGATACACACGCCCCCGTGTGTTAATCTGGAACAATAATAAATTCCACCAAGTATCATTTACGCTCGGCCATACCTAACTAAATAAAACACTGAGTTTAGGTTTATTACTGTAACCACCCCTGTGACTGTACAATACACACTTACACACATGATCATCCCCGTGATCATATCTAACACATTTATATCCACATACGTCAACCCTGTGACAATGAGCATACGAATCTCTGACAGTCATCTCTGTGACCCTTACTTTCACTTACATGTCAACCCTGTGACTATGTGCTAAAGTCATCCCTGTGACCATTACATTTATTCACACACATATCAACCCTGTGACTATGTGTAAGTCATCCCTGTGACTGTTACATTTATTCTCACATACGTCAACCCTGTGACTGTGTGCTTACAATCTAAAGTCATCCCTGTGACCTTTACAAATCATTCACATGTGTACAAAATTAACAAAACAAAATTGTAAAATTAATAACACTCTAAACAAGCATTCCAGTAATTGAGAATTCTATTTACGACCTTATGTTGAGCCAGAGGTTCCAACATCATTTGTCTCATCCGAATCGTCACTTAGAGTCATATCAATTTGACATGTTTGATTCTCTGGCATTTTCCTAATCCTATCATGTGCGTATTTATATGTACGCTTTGAATTTAAAGCCTTTAATAAGTAGCGGTCACCATCCAGAACTTCTATGACCTTAAATGGACCTTTAAATTTTGAATCTAATTTAGTTTGATTTCTCTCCTCATTCTCTATCAAAACAAAATCGCCTACAGAAAATTTTTTCACTTTTGCCTTTGTACTATCAAACCTACGCTTATCATACTCTGCCATATCCTTTATGTTATTTGCTGCCCTTTCTCTAATTTCTTCTAAATCAATACAAGCCTCATCATCCACAACATCACTAGCCATTAACGATAACGGCCTAGCAACCTTACCTATCATAAGCTCTAGTGGTGAGCATTTTGTAACTCTATTAGTGGTACAGTTAAGAGCTAGTTGAACGTCGCCTAATGAGTC